TGTTAGAAATTCCTTCTCACAGTTATTTTTCTCCCATACCAATGAGGTCCACCAGTTGCTGTTGTCTCCATTCAAAAGCCAACTACAGCCTCACATACTCTTTTCAGGGAGGCCACACTGCCACCCCTGCACAGCAGTCACAGAACAATACCTCCAGGTCCAAAACATCAGTGTCACCCCAATACAGCAACTGCTATGTTTTATTCTGTTCTGGTCTTCTGTGTCTGCATTTTATCTTTCAGGTAAAATGTCTGGTCAAGTTGTTAGAACTTGAATCAAGCTGCTTTTATTTGTTTATAAAAAGCATCCCCACATGATGAAATATGACCCAAAGTGAAAAGTCCTAATAAAAATTCCAGCGTTGTTGTGTTAAAGAACCAAATAAATCTGAGAAAGTCAGACCAGAAGCCACAAAGTCACACAGAGAGCAACATATTCCAAACAAGGCTAAAGTTAGTAAAGAAAAATATAGCAACCTAAAGTCAGTAACATCATAACCCTTAATAGCCTACAGAATGAGACACTATGTCCACATAAACAGATCTGAACTCTTCAGATCACCCCACATGCTAAGTGACAACAAAGATTTTGTTTTATTAAAAAAAAAAAAAAACAGTTCAAAGGCTTTTAAGTCTATAAAAGATACTAGTGTTTGAAGTCTATGTGCCCAAATTAGAGTGGAGGATCAGAAAATAAGAAGTGTCAGGATACATTTTAAGGTTCCTTATTATCACCAAAGGGAGGCAGAATCAAGGCAAAGTCCCTACAGAACAACAGAAAAACATATAAAAATTGGGGACCACCTTTTAAAAAGAAAGACACATAACTTCTTCAAGCAATAGTCCTTTTTGTTTTATTTAACAGGCAACTGCATGATCCAAAGGAAACAAGGCAGGTATCTCCCCTCTTTAGTAGTGCTTAATATTTCCATTAAGATACTTAACTTCTTTTTTCAGTAATATTTATAAACTTAATTTGTAAAGGATCTTAAGTTCTTTTTGTGCCAAGGATCTCTTTGGTAGTCTGATGAAGCCTATTCAACTCTGCTCAGACAAATGGGTTTTTTCAATGTATAAAATAGAATACCAAAGAAATCAGTTACACTGAGTTATCCAAGTAGTTTTAAATTGTAAAAAATCATACATGTACTTCTATGTTGAGGCATTAAATGACAAGTCTAGCAGTAGACCTTTTTGTCTCATATGCTGATAATAAAGCAAAATGCTACATACATCTGAATACAATGTCTGAATTAATAAATTCAATGAAAATAAAGATGTGTTTTTCTCCTATTCACATGTGTAGATTCCATGAATTCCATCTGTGGACCCTCAGTTAGGAACCCTTGGTTGAGATATATTTTGTGAAGCATCTAATGAAAATGTATTACAAAATGTATTATCCATTCAACTGTGAGGTGAGGGGACTAAGCATTATTTTTCCAAAAACCATGATGGGCCATTAGTCAGCAAGAGAGCCGCATGCTTCAAATTGAATCCAAAAAGGGTACTTTGAGGGGCTGATAGCACTGGGAAACAGTATATACAGTGACCCAGCTCAGACAGGAAGAAGTAGGAACTCGAAAAAAAATTCCTTTCCAAATCCCCAGTTTGTGAATAATAAAAGGGCTGAATATATACCAATACCTCTTAGGCCCGTTCCAGTCCTAAATTCTACCATTAGATTATCTCCTCCTTATGCTAGAATTTCAATCTATTTAGCTTGAATTCAAACCATCTTTGCCTTTCTTAAATTTGAGACAGCAAGTTTTACCCAATTTGAATGTTCTCATGCATAACCTACCACCAAGAAATCAAGTATATGTGTAATATTACTTTTTTAAGCCTGTTTTATGTATGTCTACTTCATAAAAAACAAACATAGCATTAGCCTTTCTGCTACAGATGCAGGATGTGGGCCTATTCGAATTCTAGTACCATCACTTTAATACATAAAAATCAACAAATGTCAAGCAATTTGGACAATGTAACTTAACTATACATTTTCTACATTTAAGCCAATGACAAAATTCCAGAGTACAGACCAAGGGTTTTTGATGAAAATCTAATCCAATCATATTTTGTTATTGCTAAAAAAAACAGGGAGGAAGTAAGTCAAAATCACAAAGCCACTTGACAAGAATGCAGGACTTGAATCAGGTTCCCTAACTGTGAATGTGTGCTGTTCCCACCCCACTCAACTGCCTCTCAAATCCTAAGCTACTTCCCCAACCTTAAAATGTTAGTCAAGTTTAAAATTAAGAGCAAGAAAGACCCAATGAGTAGACATTTTCCTGCACATTCAATTAATTAGTGGGCACAACAAAAAAGTGTGGCTGTGATACATTAACTGGTTGGAATTATGAAAAAATTTAAATTTCACTAATCTGACAAAAAGTTATAACCCAATAAAATCCTAACTGCATAGGATTAATTAATATTGTAACATATGAAAAGATGCAGAATACTATATAAAGATACAGATATCTACCAACCTTTCGGCCTGACCTCTAGAATTTCCTGGTAAGATTTTACTATTAAATTCAGAAGACAGCATAGAGGGACAGTCACAACAACTTTTAGAAAATGCAAACAAAAAACAATATACTGTATAAGCAAAGAATTCCATCAATATAAAACACTAAGCATTTTTTAACCTCAAAAATAACAAGAAAATCTAATAGACTATTTACACACACACACACACACACACACACACACACATATATATATATATATATATATCCTAGAAGATCAGACATGCAATGGTGATAGTGATTGTTCTTTGAATGTTATTGTTGTTTTAAAAGGGAAGACACTGTCTCAAGTCCTGAGATTAGGATATAATTCAATAAGAGCCTCTTTAAAATACCCACTTATTCACTATTTTACCTTTTCTGTAAAGTTTAATATTGCTAGAGTCAGAAACCTACTCTCAAACAAAGACAATTCAAGTTATATAAAAAACAACTAGCATCTTCTACTCACACTTTACTTTCTCAGAAAGACCTTCCCTGACTTAACTGAAGAAAGCAAAACCCAGCAGTCACTCTTTAACCAATTTTCTGTTGAGAATTTGGCAACACCTGAAGTTGTCATTTATTAATTTATTCACTTTTTTTTTTTTTTTGTCCTGTTTATGCCCGTCACTCCACACTAAACTGAAAGTTCCTGGTTCACTGCTGGATCCTCAATGCCTAAACAAAGAGCTGGCACAAATAGGTGCACAAATAACTTCTGCCTGTCTGACCCCAACTGTCAGGTAAACAGCAGCAATGTCAGACTTAATGTCTCCTGGAAAGCATTAGTAAAAGGCAGTTCATATGCAACTAGCAATGGATTTACATAGCCTACTTTGGAATAAGCCTATGACACCAGGACAATCCAGAATATAAATCCTTCTGTTGGCTTTGGAATGCCCTTCACTTCCAACTGTGAACACAAAATCTCCTCCAGGCCCACTCACTGCTGTTCTGAAACATCTCAACAATGATTGCCTCAAAAGGAAATAATGAAATAAAGTTCTGGCATAAGTTAATCTTCCATGTCAAGTTCACAGTGTTAAACATACTTTGAAGCCAGCCACACAAATAAATCCAAACTTCACAAAATTAGGTTGGGTTGAAGTTACATAAGACAGACCAAACTGTGGCTTTTTCTCTGTCACTTCTCCTTCTGTCTAGAGAACCCTGATATCTGTCTTTTTAAGTGCAATTACTATGCAGGTGTGAAAAACGCTTAGCTGCAGACAGTTTCGAGACCAGTAATGGGATTTCCAGCACTATCCCATTTACTACTCTAGCAACAAAGTGAGGAAGAGTAGGCAGCTGTGTCTGGGAGCTTCTCTTTAAAATTATCTTTAAGTTGGCATTCACTTCAAGTTATCAAGACACGTTTCTCCAAGTCCCATAAGTCTTTCCATAGCTAGGACTCCTCACATGTGTGCTAAACCCACCTATCAGCACTCACGGTGCTCTGAATACAAGTCTTTCAACAGAGGAAGACAAAAGCGCGGGTTCCCAGGAGCGGCACATCCAAAGGGAAAAATAATCCTTTCTCCTCCAACACTAAAGCCAAGCTGCTCCTTCTCCCGAGTTTCCTGCACTTTTCTCCTCCCCCTTCCACTCCCCTTTCACTGCCCACTTTATCCTGCTTTAATCCCGCGAAGCCTCTCTCCTGGTTTATTAAGGGTAAACAATAGAAATGTCACAAGGAAAATCAGGAAGTAGATGAAGTCTCTAATTGCTGCCGTTTAACGATTGTAGATAATTACTATCTTCAAAATGTGGTTTTCACCAGCGGAGAGGGAGCAGAGGCGGCTGGCTCGCTCCCTGCCGCTGCCCAGCCGCCAGGAGGGCATCCACGAGGCCGAGGCCCTGGGCCGGGGGCTGGAGGAGTGCGGTCCCGCGCCCGGTGTCCAGGCCCCACATGGCAGCGTCCCTGCTCGTCCCCCCCTACTCTGAGAAGCCAGGGCTAGCCTGTCAGCCTGGGTCACAGACAGTTCACCGCCCGCGGCGGTCACCATAACAATATGCAAAACGCAGCCCCACTGTCCGCCGCGGCGCGAGCCCACAGCCCGCACCCGGGGTTCCGAAGACGGGTGCTCGGGGCCAACGGTCCTCGGGAGATTAAGAACCCCCAGGGGCCGCGGCGGCTGGCTCCCCAGCTTCGGGAAGCGACTCCACGAGGTGCCCGAGCTCCTGCTCACCCTCCCCGGTCCCTGAGAGGGCAGCCACAGGGCGAGAAGTCAAGCCCCGGCCCCCGCGGAACCGCCGAGGACTGGGTCCGGGAGCGCCACGCAGTGCCCCGCGGGGTCGCCCGAGTCGCTTCCGCGCGCGCCGCACATCCCGGCGCCCGCCGCAGCGTCCCGCGCGCGCGGACCAAAGCATCCCGGCCTCCGGCGAGCCGCTCCCGCTGCCTCAGCGGTCCCCAGAGAGCGCCCGAGCCACCCCGCGGCCCCACTCGGGGACGCTCGCCGCCCGCCCGTCTGCCCGGACTCACCCCAGTACCACCAGCTCCCCGTATTTCACCGGCTCCTTATTGGGGGCGCTGGGCTCCTCCTGGCCCGGGGAAAACATGGAGCCCCGCTCGGCCGCCGCCGCCTCCGCCGCGATCCCCGCCGAGTCCGCGCCGCCGCTACAATCCCATCCCGAGAAGGGGGTGAGCGCGCCGGGGAAGGGCACCGCGGCGAAGGGGGCGCGGGGCGGCCAGTCCCGCGGCTGCTCCGTCGTGGCTGCGCGTTTGCCCGCCTGGCTCCCCGGAGCTCCGCGCGCCGCGGCCGCCCCGAGCCAGACCCGGCAACAAATGGGACCGGGCAGCAGGGGTACCTGCCCGCGCCGAGCGCCTAGCGTCGCCGCCACTGCAGCCGCCGCCGCCGAAGCCCCGCGGGAGGGAGGGAGGGAGCGAGCGAGCGCGAGAGGCGGGGTGGGCGGGGGCCAGAGCGCGGAGCCGCCCCGCCGGCGCGGGCAGGTGGGGGGCCCCGCCCTCGCGAGCGCCGACGCCCCCCCGCCCTCCGACCCCGCCCTCCGACCCCGCCCCCAGCGCGTGGGGCCGCCCGCGCCCCCACCCTGCCCCCACGGGCGGCCCGGGACTGGCCCAGTGTTATGTAAACATAGAGTAAAAGGGAAGGGGAGTTCTTAAAGGAGCAGCTCTGTTTTTCTCCTTACTTCCTTCTCTAAAGTTAGAGAGCGGGGTCCTCAGCCCTCGCCGCCCCGGACTTCAGCGGCTGAGGGCTGCGCAGGAGATGCGGGAACCGTGTAGTCACGATTCCCAAGCCTAGCGGACGTTTTCCCAGGATTAGACGGAAATAAAGAACTTCCTTGCTGTGTCAGAGCATTGGCTTTCTGCGTGTCACTGCGACCCGGCTTACATCTGGAAGTGTCGCACACACGCACCTCCTTTCCAAAGAAGTTTTTTTTTTTTTTTTAAATCCATTTTCTATGCACTTTCCTATGATTCCCAAAGGAATTTAGGAGGAAATTACCTAGGTAATTTACCTAGGAAATTACCTAGGTGGATTTTTTTTTTTTGGTGACTCTAAATATTCCTTTTTATTATGATTTAGTCAATGCACTGTTTGCTTTTTATATTTTTAAATAGTTACTACTATGGCATTAAAATATTGTAGGCTATAACAGTTTTACTGACTGCTGTTTTTCATCATACGGAATTTTATTAAATATTTTAACATTTATTAAACACTCATAACATGCTAGAAACTCTATAGACTATTGTCAGTCACTGCCTCTCAAAACTGTTAAATATTTAAAGAAATAAATAGTGCAGAAGCTACCCTGTGTGTAAACAGCGACTGATTGGCTATGACCTAGAGAAGAAATAATTGCATCTGTAACCTTCCATTCTGCTGTTCAACACCCTTCCTGTAACATTCTCTGACAGGTTATTACTGTAGTAACAATGAAGCTTTTGATGGTTTTATTTCAGTTAGTAACTGATTTTTTTTTAATTGAGGCTTTAGGAATAAATCATTCCAAAGTGACACAAGCTGCACCATCAATAAGCCAAAAATAAATTTTATTAAACAGTTAACTTATTTCCACTAATTACTGGAATCCTGTACCTAAACTGAATATGTCTATCCTGCATGTTTTACATACTTTTTATATTTTTATGTTATAAAGAGTTTGTTATGATTTTAACAAACCATCATTCACTGAAGGGTTGAGTTCTTTCTCCTCACACCAGTGTTGGTGTGATTTCTACCTAAATTTCTGCTTGATTTCTGCTTGTTTTCATCTATCCTATGCTCCAACTTACCATGTAGATGTATAACTATCAAAGATCCGTCAGAATCATGCTGCAGTTTTGCAGTCCCCATCACTACAGTACCTGGAGCTGTCATCCTAACTACTAGAGGTCTATTCTAGTGCATCTACTGATCTCTAGGCTACAATTACCTCCTTCTCTCTTGGCATGCTGTGCTTTTGTGCATTGCATTACATGTTCTGGCTCCATTTCTTCCTTGCTGTGCTCTGCATCTGCTGTTAGGAAGATGGAAACAAATATTTATTAACCTCCTACTAAGTTCCAAATACTAAACTGTGAGCATCCCACAGTCTGTCCCAATCTTCCTTCAAAGCCCTGTTCATTCTAACTACCTGCATAGGGCACCCATGACTTCCAGAGGGGCATCTTTCTTATCCCCCAGAGAGTCTTTGAGCATTTTTATAGTGCTTCATCAGGTTTATCTTTATCAGAGTTACTTACAGGTAGTGTTGCTTTGAACGAATTTTTCTCTCAATGGAAGCTTTTTATCAGAGGCAGCTCAGAGCTTATGAGTAGACCTTTTCTGTCAAGTCTCTCTGAATGATGAAAGCTTCCTACTGGTAAGAGCAAGCCTATTGATCAGGGTTTAGGAATACATACAGACTCCATGCATGAAAATCCAAATGAGATAATGAACTGAGTGAAAACTGTGGTATACTGGTGGTCTGTGGCAATGACAGCTTACCCTTGATAGATTTAATCTTGTTTAAGAACTCCAAATCCTGATTATGCCAAAATTTCTCAATTTTGAACTGTCAGCAACACATTTAAGCTCCCCACCACCAACCACAGTACACACACCTTTAAATATCTCATAGGCCCACCAAAACCATGTCAAGTTTCTAAGTTGTACCCAAAATCTCCAAATTGACTTTCTCTGATTTCAAGGAAACATGTAAGTACAAGTAAAAGAACACTTCTCAAGTGGCATCAAATAGGAGGACTGGGGCCATGGCAGTAAACTTGATTTTCTCAGAGTTAATGGCTTATGTCCCTAAAGAAGCCAGCTTGCACCTCTCTTGGCCCATCCTTTATTCATTATCTGCTCACAACCCAAACCAATTGAAACATGACCCCCACCATCCCAGCTAATATTAGGAATCTGATTGTAGCATGAATTTATCCTCTCTTGAATGTAATTGTTTTAGTTAGTAGCTCCAGGCTGGTGGGACAATCTGGCTGTGCCATCTGCCAATCCACTGAAAGCCATGGTGGGTTTGGCTGTCCTTGCTGCCAGGACAGACCCTTCCCTACTCTTCCTGTTGGTCATGCCATTAATGTCCCTGCAGACCACTCTCCTGAAGAGGATGCACATAGTATCCCACAGGGACCCAATGATATTTCCTTGGGCTACCAGAAGCCATATGTTTACTTTACAAACAATGTAATGCTCTCTCTTGCTTTCTCTCCTGATATGCCTACCTCTTTTGCTTTAGAATTCAAAGATTTAGTGAAAAAGTTTGTTTATTTTAACCAAACCTTAAGTAAAATACCTCCAAGTATTTCTAGCATGAAGAGTTTAATTTTTGGTCACTGTACATTTTATCTCCTATATTTATGTTTGCAAAGAGTAAAGAGTAAATAAAGTTTGAAAAATATAGATTTGATCAGGATATAATATATTTTTCTGTGAAACCTTATATTACTCTTTCAATCAGGAAACAAACAAAAAGATGGAAAAATCTTTTTTGTTTGTTTCCTGATTGAAAGAGTAATATAAGTTCTTTGTCAAAAGTTTGGGAAACATGGGAAAAGGATTTTTTAAAACCCTTGTCTTAAACCATCCATAACCTCCTTACTCAGAAATACCCCCCTTTTTTTTCATTTCTGTGTATTTTCTACATCTTTTTCTCTTTCTTTGACAACGTGGTGATAATACTATGTGTAAATATCTCTTATGAAGTTTTTTATCCTAGCTTTTTCCACTTAGTGTTATGCTGTAAAAAGTTTTCTGTTGTCACTAAAACCTCATAAACTTTTAAAATAGTAATTATCAACATTTATTAACCATGCTCCTTTTATGGGACATTTGGAGTAGTTTTAAATTTTGCTATTATAAATAATAAACGTATTTATATTTGCTGTTATTTCTTAAAAGCAGATTTCTACAAGTAAAATTTTTACATCAAAGGGTATAAACATTTTTAAGACCTTTTGATGTGTACTTCCAAAGTGTTTTTCAAAACGGTTGTGCCTGCCAATTTATCCTGTAACTAGCACTAAATGAGAACCTGCCTCAGGGAACTCTCGCCAGCATTTTAAAATTCTTACTAATTTGACAGGTGATAATTTTTTATTTGCATTTCTGTGATTATTATTGTGCAGGGCATTCACTATTTTTATTGTGGTAAAGAAAATACAGAATCTGAGACCTACCCTCTTAATAGATTTTTAAGTGTACACTACAGTTTTGTTAATTATCAACACCATAGTGTGTGGCAGATTCTAGAACTTTTTCATCTTGCATGACTGAATCTTTATACCCTTTGAACAGCAACTCTCCTTTTCTCCCTTCCTCTAGCCCCTGGCAACCACTATTCTACTTTCTACTTTGATGAGTTTGATTATTTTAAATACCTCGTATATGTGAATCACACAGTATTTGTCCTTCTGGGGATAGGTTATCTTACTGAGCACATGGCTTCCACGTTCATGTTGAAGCATATGACAGGATTTCCTCCTCCTCATGGCTGAATAGTATTTCATAGTATGTATACACCACATTTTCTTTATCCATTCATCTTTGATGTACATTTAGGATGGTTTTTGTAAATAATGCTGCAATGAATATGGGAGTACACATATCTCCTTGAGATCTTGATTTCAATTATTTTTTGATAAAAACTCAAAAAGTGAGGATTCTGGCTCATATGGTAGTTACATTTTTAATTTTTTGAGGAACCTCTGTACTGTTTTCCATAGTAGATAAACCATTTTACATTTTTACAAGCAGTGTACAAGGGTTCAAATTTTTCCACATCCTTAAGAAAATTTATTATCTGTTATGTTTTATTTTATAAGGCCATCTGAACAGATTTGAGGTGATATCTCATTGTGGATTTTTGGTGGGGGGCAGTGATACTGGAGACTTAACCCAAGAGCAATTTACCACTAACCTACATCCCCCAGACTCTTTTTTTTTTTTTTCCTTTCTTTTTTTCTTTTTTTGAGACAGGGTCTCACTAAGTTTCTGAGGCTGGTCCCAAACCTGTCATCTGCCTGATTCATCCTCCCAAGCCGCTGTGATTTCAGGCATGCACCCCATGCCAGGCTTCACCTCACTGTGTTTTTGTATATATTTCCCTGATGATTAAAGATATTGAGCATCTTTTGATATATCTATTTTCTATATGTCTTCCTCAAAGAAATATTTATTAAGTCCTTTGCCTATTTTTCAATCAGGTTTTTTTGGGAGGGGTTTTGGTGGAGTTTGTTTCTATTGAATTGTAGAAGTTTCTTATATATTTTGGAAATTAACCCCTTCCAGATATATAGATTGCAAAAATTTTCTCCCAGAAGTTTTTTAGTTTGATAGAGTTTCACTTGCCTATTA